CCACCTCATCACACTTCATATTTTCTAATTGTTTGGATGTGAGAGGCCTCCTAGTGGCAGAAACTACAGATTGTACGTTTAAACCATTTAAACCAGAGTAGGAGGGTCATCAGTATCCTGGGAAAAAATGGCGAAGCTGCTGGGAAGTAGCAGATCAAATAAATTACGTGGTTTCGGATCAGTGCACATCCATGCTTGACGATAGCACATTTTAGGCAGAATCGGAACAACTTTAAATATCTGCCTTAATCTTAAATGTCTTCTTCTTTTTTATTCCTGAAAACTTAACATTGAAATAAAACTATGAGTTTAATGTCTCTGTTCTGTCTTTACAGTAGAAGAAGATGAATTACTCACAGGACAAACTGATGTTCAACCAATCAGAATACAACTCAAACACTGATGACTACAACAACTCTGTGACACCAACTCCCGACTACGAGGTGTACGGACCTTGTTATCACCAGAAGAACCAGAGCCTTGGGGAGGTGATTGGTCCGTACGTCCACTCCATCATCTGCATCCTGGGCCTCGTGGGGAACAGCCTGGTAATCGTTACCTACGCCTTCTACAAGAGGACCAAGTCCATGACCGACGTCTACCTGCTCAATGTTGCCATCGCTGACCTGCTGTTCGTGATATCGCTGCCGCTCATTGTCTACAACGAGCTGACGTCGTGGTCGATGGGGCCGGTGGCCTGCAAACTGCTGCGCGGCTCCTATAGTGTCAACCTGTACAGCGGCATGTTGCTGCTTGCCTGCATCAGCACTGACCGCTACATTGCCATCGTACAGGCCCGCCGCAGCTTCAGACTGCGTTCGCTGCCGTACAGCCGCCTCATCTGTGCCATCGTCTGGGTCACCGCCTTGCTGCTGTCTGTCCCGACGTTCTACTTCTACAGCCGGTACGAGCCGTCCCACAACGAGACCTTCTATTTTGACAATTTTGAATACGAGACCTCTGATATTCCGCCTGAGTCCTCTGATATTCCGCCTGAGTCCTCTGATATTCCGCCTAAGTCCTCTGATATTCCGCCTGAGTCCTCTGATATTCCGCCTGAGTACGTCTGCGAGTTCTTGTTTAATGACAAGAGCACGGCCTGGACGATGAAGGTGGTGGTCCCCAGCACCCAGATCGCCATAGGCTTCTTCCTGCCACTCCTCATTATGGTCTTATGCTACACTGCCGTTATCGTCACCCTGCTGAGAGCCAAAAACTTCCAGCGACACAAGGCGGTGCGTGTGGTGTTTGCCGTGGTGGCAGTGTTCATCGTCTGCCACCTGCCCTACAACCTCGCGCTGCTCTACGACACCGCCTACATGTTCGAGCAGCAGTTTTGTGAAGAATCGGACACCCTGCAGGTAGTCAAAACAGTGACGCAGACCATCGCCTACCTCCACTGCTGCTTGAACCCGGTGCTGTACGCCTTCGTCGGGGTGAAGTTCAGGAACCACTTCCGGAGGATCGTCCAGGACCTTTGGTGTCTGGGGAAGAAGTACATCGCCCCGCGCCGCTTCTCCAGGGTCACCTCCGAGATATACGTGTCTACTCGCCGCTCGGTGGATGGATCCAGTGACAACGGCTCGTCTTTTACCATGTGAGGCCCCCCCCCGCGGGTTCATCTGCGGATCCTGAACCCTGAAGGTCTGAGGAGCTCAGGAAGAGACTCGAGTCTGTAAATCACTTCGCAATCTTGTTGCTTTAAGTTCTGATTCTCAGTTGTCTCAGCATAAATCTCAGGGTTTAAGATGATTTAATGATCTGCTGCAGCAGTTTTGTCCGTCTTTCTTTTCTATCAGTTTTGTTTTTTTATTGTGAAATACTGCAGATTTTTACTTCTTCAGGACTTAAAAACTGTTAAAACAACCTGAGAAGGAAACATCGCTCTTTCTCTGAACTCATTTAAAGAGTTCATAAAGTTTTGTTAGCATCTGTTTTTCAGAAGGACTTTAGGGCCCCTGGTCTGAGATTTGTATTGTATAACCTCCTAGAAATGATGTCTATATACTAACTGGTTCTGGTTCTGTCTGCATTGGGTTCATTTGTGAATTGAATTGAATCATTCATGAATTATTCAGAGAAACTAGAATCTATTTTTGTTTTTTCTTTTTCTTTTTCCAGCAGTTTCATTGCAAAAAATCTTAAAAACTGAAAAACTACTACTAAAAAAAACATTTTAGTTTAAAGTCCGGGATGGACTGACTGATCAGATATTCATATATATATTCAGAGATATGAATATAATAAGGATTCAGTATTTCTGGTTGTGTGGAATAACCTTTAACATGTAATAAAATATAATAAAATATATTCAAAGTTCAAATATTCTAATAATTCAAATTATTTTCAGGAGATATTTTTATTCTTTAAGCGTTGAGCTCTTTAACTTTCAGCAGCTGCTTCACTTTAATCTGATTAAAACCTACTGAGTTTGAACTTCTGGAGGCGGATCAGTGGATTTAACACTGACCTCTCGGTGACCTCCAGATTCCACTTCCTGTTCCTGTGAGTTTTATTTTTATAGGATTGATGAATGTAATTTTTCTGTTCTTATTGGCTGCTTCCTGCTCTGTTTATTATACAATAAATGCCTCCATCCACAAAGATTGTTGATTTAATGAAGACGTCTCACTTTCTCACAGAGTCTCTGAATAAGAAAGTTGGTTAAAACTTTAGTTTCAAATTGTCCCATTGTTTATTTTGGTTCCTAAACGCTCCATAATTATTTTAACGCTTTTAAAAGATGTTTTCTGATTCTGTCAGAACTTTTATTTTGGGTAGTTCCTATGTGAACACAGATTGGTTCGACATCCTTTCAGTAATTACAGATAAAATGCCGACAGTTCCTTTACTGCTCTGCTGCCCCCCAGTGGACAAAACAGACAAATAAATCAATGAATGCAGCTTTAAGTAGATTTGATTTCACCCTCGAGGGTTTAAAATACAGCTGCAGTGAACAAATATTATGTTTTATTTTTACAGATTATTATAAACCTCGGTTTTAGAATATTCTGCCTCCTTTCTATGGTGGCCAACAAGGGCAAACGTGCTACAAACGGCAATACGCTGAGAACACGGGAATGATGCAAATCCAAAAACACACAAACACATAAAACAAATCCAACAGAAAAACGCAGCAACAGAAAAATGCTGCAATCACAGAAACGAAGCAGAAGCAAAAAC